ACACCTTGCTTGATTTAGCTAAGAATCCATCAAAATCACCAAACCCTAATGCATTCATAATGAAATCATCAAAAAATTAGAAATATTCAGTCAAAAATATTGTTCAAATAACATCGAGATGAAGAAATCCAAGAGAGAACTTACTCAAATGGGTTCAAAGATTTGGGGGTTATTGTTATCCAACTAGAAACTACTCCTTAAGAATAAAGAGAATAAAATCTCTTTTTTCATCATCAGGAAGTGACTTCAACAAATAAAACTTTTCCGGGTTGCTATCCATTTGCTTCTCAAATGCATTGAACACTTGAATGCGACTTAAGTTGGGTATTTTTGAGACCACTTGATGAATCTCCTCTTCGGTTGGTGGATTTCTTACTACTTACTTCTTTCTCTTGTTAAAATACTCACTCACAGAAGCTGCCATCACTGCAAGTGAATCAACCATTTTATCCCCCTTCTTTTGTTTTTCTTTGAGCTTTTCTCACCACTAGTTGATGCTCTAGAAAAATGTTTCCTTGAAGAGCTTCCACCTTCATTTGTTTCGGATTGTGCCTCAGATTCCTCATGTTGCATTGCATTAGCAGCCTCTTAAAAGGTTTCCGCGCCTTCACCATTGGCTCTATCTTTTGCACATAACACCATAATGTCATCCCAATTTTCAATCAAACGATTCTGGTAGCCTTTTGCATCTGGATTAGCCTACAATATAAGAACATTCACAAATATTTTTAGATATATGCAACAAACTAATAATTCAAATTAATAAGTATAAAGTGCGATATTACCGAAACATAGTCGCTCCATACTTTTTGCTCACTAGCGGGTATAATCACCATTTTCTTCTCATCATCTCTCCACGTCAAACCACTTTTATTTTTAATGTCATAGATAACATTATAATGTGTTTTCCAAATTTTGAGTCGATTCTTCACGTTATCTTTGTTCAAGTTGCTATTAAATGATTTTAGTGCATCAACCGCAGCTTGATACACTTGAGGCTTCCAAGTACCATCGACTTTTAATCCTTGGTTCATTTGATCGTACAACACATTGGCTAAAGCTGAGTCCATATCACGATTCCACACAACATATGATCTCGACTGAGATACAATTTGTTTCACTTTCTTTGTCATCCTAATACATACCAAAGTGAATGACATAGAATTAGTAATAAAGCACAAAGGTTGATTAATAATGAACCTTCGACATTGTAGAATGAAGGCACGAGAAAAAGGTGATGGCTACAAGTGTAAATAGCTACTACAAAGTTTGCAAGAAATGAATAAAACAATGTTACTCCAATATTCAAAGATCATAAAACTTATCAAAGACATAAAATTATTCATAACTGCTAACCAACTTTAGCATCAAATCTTATGGATGCTGGGCCCCTCTCAAAGTCGGTGTTCATCCCACATTTGCATAGCTAAATCATCTCTAAAGTTACTTCATTCATTTGTAACTCTCACAGTAGTGATACGCTCCTCATCTACATTCTCAATTTCTAAAACAGGATCATCTTCTAATTCTCGATCCACATCATTCAACAAGTCATCTTCATTCATCTCTTCACGTAAAAAATTATGAAGAATACAACATGCATTAATGATCCTAATTTGAGTCTTAACACTATAAAAGCTAGCTGTCCGTAATATAGGCCATCGTTTTTTAGCAATCCGAATGCCCTCTCAATTGTGTTTCTAGCAGAGGAATGACATTGGTTAAATAACTCATTGTAGTTTCTTGGACCATTTTCTCTCCAAGACTTTATATGATAGCGAGTCCCTCTATAAGGTGCCAAAAACCCCGACCCATTTGTATACCCATCATCCACAAGAAAGTATTTATCTACAAAATCAAAATCTTCAGTCATAACAATGTAAAAACTAGGAAGCAATACATATATAATAATTAAAAAATTATATTCCTACTTGAGGGAAGTTTCAAGCCATTGGGTCGACACAAAACATCACACAAAACACGAGAATCTGATGTTGAACCCTCCCAACCAGGTAGCACATATGAAAATCTCAAATTGGCATCACAAACACCTAGTACATTTGTACTGGTCTCTCCTTTTCTATTTCGATATTTACTTTGATCTTCTAAGGGAATAGTTAATTGGATATGAGTCCCATCAAGTGCCCCGATAGCATACTAAAATTGCACAACCTTACAATTAGTTCTATTAAACAAAAGTATTAAACATGAAAACCTTAATAAAAGAAGCCATAGTTACCTCAAACCATTTCCACTTCTCCATGTCTCTCTCATTAGGATTTGTATATTCTTGTCTAATATAAAGATTTCCTATCTTCATGACTGCTTGAAGTACTTTGTGGAACTGCCGACTAATTGTTTCATTTGAACGATAAAAATCTGTTTTGCTTGTCCTATTTTTTACATTATGAGCTAAAATATGCAAAAATATAGCGATAATTTCTTTAATCGTGACATTTCTTGATGCTACTAATCCCTCTCTAGTACATAGAACATCACATAACCTCTTAAACACTTAAGGATTCATCCTTAGTTGTTCAACACAATTATTTGCATTGCAAATAAGAGTTCGAATCCAAGACTTTCTAAGGTATGTCCTTTCATCCTCTTATTCGTTTGTTCTTGAACTCTCCTTCAACATGTGCTTTGTATACTACCAAACACCAATGGTAGTAACTATAAAACTGACAGCTACCATAATAATTTCCTCATCCTCTCTCCTCTCAAATTCTTCTCTTGTACGTTTATGTTGGATCATTGAATCCCTTCAATCATTTATCATTTTTAACCTATCACACTAAAAGTTGAACATGCAAGAAGATTACACATATATCCTGAATATATATTTAGCAGGATGCAAATTTAATGAAGTCCTAAAAAAAACAACTCAAGACATAGAAATAACACCCTACTTTGAAATAACATCCATAAGATTGCATGATAATAAAAAATTGCATATGTTAGAAGCAAAACCTTTCTTATGCTAGAAGGCAAATTGATGTGAATCTACCTACATCATTACCTGATGAGCTGAAGATTAAAGCAAAGAATTGTCAATTGCTGGTTTCATTTGAGGAGAAAAGAACTTGTCTTCATGTACTTGAACCAAAAACATGGAGATTATCTTATTTTATACAAGCAATAGTTCTTATGTGGTGGCATTTCTACCATAGTGCACAATAATGTCCCTTTGAAATGGGATAGATAGAAGTGTGCTCCTTTTTTAAGTGTGATTATAACTTCAATTATAACCCAATAATATTCTCATTTTTGGGTCAGAAAGTCTTAATCATTTACTGGTTCTGTTAAAAAAAAGGAAAGGAAACTCCTACCTGGAAAATGAAAATACATCTCTTATTGGATTTGTTTTTTTGGGGGGGTTTTAGATGGTTGTCTAAAGTTGACTAGGCTGCATGAAAGGTATGTGAATTGAAAAAACAATTGTAATTAACATGATAAACTAGAGAAAGATGTATTACATTGTCCCCTCAAGGCAACCTTTCCATTAAAAAAATCATCGTAATATTCCAGCAAATATGATAGTATCTAGCACTAGGAAAGCAAAAACACTGTGATGTAAAAACTCACACATTGAACCTTATCTAATGTCCCAGGGAGATTAAACTCACACATTGAAATAAATGAACATATAAGCAAATATCACCTACGACATGTGAAGTAGAAAAACATCCCCACATTTAGATTGATGCTCACCTTTAAAAGCTAAAACCAACCAAATATTACACCGATGTTGAAGAAGAAAAGGGTTTTGGGGCTAAATAGCTGCAACAATTCAATCAAACAAAGTTATTATTAACACTATATAAACCCTAGTTCAGATCTAGGGTTTCGACTGTAGGGGAGAGGCAGGGGGAAGGGGCAGGGGGAGGGGGAGAGAGAGATCGAAACCAGAGAGAGAGGGGATCGCGACTTGAAATTCCTCTTTGTTAAATGATCGGGTCGGGATTTGATAAATGACAAATGGTGTGGTGGAATTTGAAATCAGTTGTTTTGGGCTTTCAAATTCCTCTTTGTTAAATCAATTGATTTAAAATCTAGGTTCAAATCAAAACCCAAACTAGATATTTGGATTTAAAATACCCTAGATTTTAAATCCAGGCCCAAATCCAAGTTCCCAAACACACCGTAGAGGAAAAACACAACACCATTATGTTTTTTACGAAAAGACAACAAGAAAAACACGTCTCCAAACGAATGATATCGAAACGAAGCTTAGGGGCCGTTTGGTTGGTTTCCTAAAAACCAAGAAAAGGAAATCGGTACAAGGAAACCAATAAAATAATATTTTTATCCATTTCCATCCCTAAAACTCACCTACAACATCCAATAAAATAATATTTTTATCATCCAACCCATCTCATTTCATCTCATTTCTTACCTTTAAAAATAAGCAAAACACAAGAAATGTGTCACATCATCCAACTCATCACATCTCATCTTATCTCATTTTTAAAAATCACACCACATCATCCAACTCATCACATCTCATCTTATCTCATTTTTAAAAATCACACACATCATCCAATAATATTATGACAACTCATCTCATCTCATTAAACCTTCCTTTCCATCCATTTCCTAAAAAAAACAAGAAATTGATTTCCTTAAGTATGTGTCACATCATCCAATAATATACCTCCAACTCATCTCATCTCATCTATTTTCTTATTTTTAAAAATGAACCAAACACAAACAACCTCAAAACTTAATCCAATAATATACCTCCAATTCATTTCCTTATTTTTTTAACCAACCAAACAACCTCAAAACAAGTTTTTTTAAAAAATCACTCACATCATCCAATAATATGGTGACAACTCATCTCATCTCATCTCCTATTCTATAGTTTTCTTCTTTTTTAAACCAACCAAACAAACTCAAAACAATTATTATGGAAAATATGTTTATTTCCCAATTTTTTTTGCGAAACTAACAGCCCCTTAACTAAAACAACGTGCTATTCAAATGGAGTGTTAGGATTTAGAACAAACACCACTTTATAACCTGTTTCTTTCTCCTGGGAAATTTTCTTAAAACCTCAAAACCCTATCTCAGAAAAAAAACAAAAAAAAGAAAAAGGAAAAGAAAATCCATGGCGACCAACACCGGCGAGTATCGCCTCAGCTGCGAACTCCGCGGCCACGAAGACGACGTAAGCGATCCTCAATCATCTTACTGCTACTCCAAATTTGCCCTAACCCTAATTTTTTTCGATCAGGTTCGTGGCATTTGCGTATGCGACGATCTAGGGATCGCGAGTTCGTCGAGAGACAGAACGGTGAGATTTTGGACTCCAGATCCCCAAAAAAAGCACAGATTTTTGCTGTCCAAGACTTTGGCAGGGCATTCGAGCTTCGTTGGGCCGTTAGCTTGGATTCCGGCGAGCGATCGGTTCGCTGAGGGCGCACTTGTATCGGGAGGGATGGATACACTTGTTTTGCTGTGGGATTTGAGTCGAGGAGAGGTTGCGGAGACGATGAAGGGGCATCAGCAGCAGGTTACAGGGATTGCTATTGATGATAATGGAGATATCATCTCTTCGTCAATTGATTGGTACTGCTATTGGTTTTGATTAACCTTAGTTAGTTGAGTTTGAGGCTTTGTCGAACTTGTATTTTTATAAATTGGATTCTGTTTGCAGTTCAATTCGGCAGTGGAGGAAAGGCCAAACTGTTGAGTTCTGGGAAGCTCACAAAGTGGCTGTTCAAGCTGTTGTGAAATTGTCAACTGGTGAACTTGTTACTGGTATGTTTTAGCTCAAGACAGTGGTATCCATATTTTACGCCCTTTCGATGCAATTATATTTTGCGTTGGTATTTTCTAAGTGGGATTTGCTATCAGTTTACCTTGTAATGATTACCTGAAGATGGGCATTCCTTTTATTTTTTATTGGAGTTACGTAAATTCAAGCAATGCAGTAAATATGTGCAATATGTGATTATGTCTTGCAAGGAAAAACAACACATCTTTCAGGGGCTGAGGGAAGTACAGAAATACAATAAATACGTGAATTGTCTTTGAATCTTCACTGCAACTTGAAAAGCATCTTAAGCTATAACAACATGATTGATGAGGAATGTCATATTGAGAGTACAAGTGAAGAGCTGAAATACTCTTAAGCTAACAACAACTAGTGAATAAGATGCAAGAAGATAAATGACGAAATGTATAGCTACAATATTACGCATAAGCAAATACACATGGGCCAGATGCAACAACATATTGAGTCCCTTATTCAGAATTTCCCAGCATTACCCTTATTTTGTTTTTTGAACACTTCTCTTGCACAACCATGTTGTTTATTGAATATGCCATTGGTCTCTTTACTGGCGATTAGTATTTTATGTTGCCCATGTTGGCATTTGTGAAAATTTGTATACGTTTTTACCACATTGAAGTTTATTTGAGTTTAATTCTGTCTAGTGCGTATATATTTTAAAATTGTGCCAGTTCTCTAGTTTAATCAATAACTTTGTGGGTGCAAATTTATTAGGTTTTCTAACCATAAAGTTATAAGCACCGATGCTGGCATTCAATAATATATGTAGAGAATAATATGTTATTTTTAAAAAAGTTTCAGTTCTCTAGTTTGAATAAATAAATTAGTTTGTGGATATAAATATTACGTTTTCTTACCATATAGTTACAAACTTACGAGGACTGACTAGCATTTAACAATATATGATGGGCTGAATTGTATTTGAAGCAACTTTATTGTGAACAACTGACCTATATCTTTTGGTTGATATAGTTCTTTAGATCCATAAGTTCGATTTATTAATTCATTCAAAGCATCCTAATGTTTGATGATTTGTAAATCAGGGAATCACAGTTTCTTAAAACTGATTCGTTTTAAGACCATTATGGTTTTGTTTGTATGTCTAATATTTTTTGATCTAAGCCTTCATTGAGATATTTGAGGTCTACGACATCTTAAATCCTTTTTTCCATCTACTGTGTTAGTGGCCATGTGAAACAGACAATTAAGTGGTAGGACTGATCTCAAGTGCAATGTCATATTATGTCTGCGTTGACCCTTAACATTGCAGTGGGTGAAATAATAGTAAAATCTAAGCATTGTGAAGTTCCTTATAGTAGTGTAAGCTATTTAGTTATATGAATGAAAATGGAATATATGAGATTCTTACCAAGAGAAGGGTATGGAAGTAGTTTATTGAAATGAATATGGGAATGCAACTGCTATGAGACCTATGAAAACTACATAAAGTCAGTCTACAACTAGGGCAACAACTAGGGCACCCCAGTTTGCTGAAGACTATTACCCTTTATTCATTTAATTAAATAAATGAAGGCCTTTGTAGGAAAAAGTATGCTGGTGGGTAAAGTTCTCTGTTAATCTGTTATAATTCCCTAATTGTTATGTTTTTACCTTTTGGGAAATAAATATGATCCTTGCTGAGAAGACTGGTGAAACTTATCCCCGCGTGTGGGCAGGTGGCAGAGACATCCCATTGCCAGGGGAGGCCCGAGTTCGAGCCCCCCTGGCAGCGGCGTGTTTAAATGTGCTTTAACACTATGGCCACGCCCTGTCACCCGTGTCCCTTAAGCGTCCTACTTACCTGGCTCTGGTATGTGGAGGGGGGGGGACCCAGCAGCCCGGGGTTTTCCTTGGGTAGCCTAGTACTTAACCTCAGGTCTTCCAGCAGGGAGTGGAGTGCACTAGCCTAGGCCCTAGGGTTCCTTGTTACCGGAAAAAAGACTGCTGAAGTTTCCTTTGGGTATGAGTCATATGACTGCTGAACTTTTCCTTTTGGGAGAAAGTTTATGTTTCACCAGTCTTGGAATATATTTATATTGGACAATTTGGTGAATATCGCCTGATATCATACTTCATCATGTTCCATGAAGATCCCGATCTTGGAATGTACCAGTGCTTTGTGCATTTGGAAAAACATGCAGTGCTCTGATGACTGCCTATTATAACAGGAAAAAGTGGCAGAAGATTTTCAGTACTGATTACATAGTTGAGACAAGACTTGACGGTGATGAGAGCTAGGTTCTTTTGGTGACTTTATGTTTGCAAACTGATTGCTAAAGTTAGGAACATGTTATATGGGGGCCTAATGCATCAAGTGTAAACGGATTGTTTCACAAATTGTTCACAGCTTTTTTGCTAAAGCATGCTATTGCGGTTTTCCTTCATATTTCAGTAAGTTATTAACAAAATAGGATAACAGTCATTTTCAATTATTTAATAATTTTTTTCTAGGCTCGAGTGATTCGACTGTTAAGCTTTGGAGAGGAAAAACTTGTTTGCACACATTTCAGGGTCACACAGGTATGTTTTTTTTAATGCTTGTTGTCTTATTCTATTAGTTCTAACAAATGACATATTTTCTTGTTCTTTGCACTGCGTTGATACTGTTGGTTCTCTTGCAAGCTTACTTGGACATTTTCATTTTAGGGAGAAAAGAGATTGACATGGGTAGTAGAAAATAGAAACTACTTTTCTTTGACGTCTCTGTTATATTTCTAATCAACCTGAATGAAGTATTTTTTAGAAAATTTGAAGTCAATAGAGATGCACATGTTTATTTTGTGATATGCAGTTTGATTTCTGCAATATCACATTACATTTGTTTGTTCTATTTTAAACGGGTGTTTCTGGATATTCATATAGACGCACACCACCCCACTTCCCCACGCCCCCCCACCCCCCCCAAAAAAAAGAAAAAGGAAAAAGAAAAAACAAAACACACACAGATGTGTGCGTCATGGTTTTAAATGTTGGCCGACATGTCGGATCGAAGGATAAAACGACACGGATATGGCCATTCCAAGTTGGATTTCGTTTTCGAGGTCCATGTTGGATATGTCGGGGGATATCGTGGACATATCAGTCATTTTCAGCCTTGAAAAATTGGCTGGTTTTTTTTGAGTTGATAAGTATTTGGGTTTGGGTTTAGCACTCAAAACCCAAACCCCATTAATTCTTCTTTTAGCCTTTTGCTCCCATAGTAACCCGATAGCATATAATACAAATTAGGCAAACAAAAAAAATGTTGCTCTCTTTTCCGCCGCGATCTCCTCTCATTCATCTTCTCTATAAATTGAAATTGCGAATTCATAAAAGCGTGATGTAAATAATAAGTTTGAACTATAGCTTGAAATCAATCCAAAATCTAACAATTTATGTCAATTTTACGCAAGACACTTTACTTTTTTGTTAATTATATGCAAGGCACTTCCGAAAGTTCTAGTTTGACAATGTGTATTTTGTTTATTTGTTGGCATAATATTCCACTGTTTCCCTTCAAGAAATGGAAAACAACTTGTGTCTTGATGTTGAATACTCAAATCAAGTAGGATAAGCTATAACAAGACAAGTGCGTTCCATCTTGAGTAGAAATCCATTTGATATGGCAATCAATATTTAGTATATGTCCCCCGATATATCCCCGATTTTTGCTATCCCACATGAATTTTAGCTGTCCGACATGAACCCGACATCCGACATTTAAAACATTGGTGTGGGTTATGCATGCGCATACATAGTCAAAGGTCGCTTCAATTACAGAACTCCAGAGTTAGAACGAGTGTTGAGATTTATAAATTTTACAGTCTACAAGATTCTCTACTTAACCATGTTTGTTCTATTTTAAATGGGGGTTTCATGTCAACACACAAACATCCCCACACATACCCCACACCCACCCACCTACACACCTGCTCACGCAACGACATACACCTCCACTCACCCACAACACACCCGCACCTCCCCACACAAACAGATGCGCGCATGATGCACACATTATTGATACATATTGTCAAAGGACACTTCGACTACACCATAACTCTAGAGTTATGATGAGTGTTGAGGTTTATAATTTTATAATCTACCATGCTAATTGCTAACCATGTTTGTTCTGTTTTAAATGGGCATTTCACTGTTTCTAGATATTCATATGCACAACACCCCCTCACACCCCCAACACCACGGGCACTGTCACGCCCCGGTTCCACTTTTAAATAATCTCGAGCGTGACTCGGCCGACAATGCAACCATACGGTCATATTCACGCCTAAGGATTTTTCCTGTATACAGATATTGCCAAAAGAACTATAGAGCATGTAACTAAGAGAAAATAAAGGGAAATAGATAGATAAAGAAATCTCTGGAAAAGATAGAGTTTTCGTACATGTCCACAACTATCCAAAGTAGGAAAGAGGATAAATACATTATAGTCTGAGAACCAAGTTCATTACATGAAAAGTCTCATAACAACATAACTACCTAAGATAAAGGAAGTGGAGAACTGATATAATAAACAGTGATCACTGTTGCTGATCCTGCCCCACAAAATACTCTCGGTCCTGCGAAAAAAGAACGATTCCCGAATCTGGGGTGAGCAAACCCCAGGGGAGTCAGGAAACTCCCAGCAAGCATGTAAAATGAGGAAATTGTGCGCGTATAAGTGTAGGTGCATATAAAGAAAAGATGAATTCTAAATTAGCAGAGGGAATAAAATGCCAATGAAGAGATCAAGATAACGTCTATTTCCAACATACAAGCGTATTATTATTATTTTAGATGTTATTTGAATTAGAGAAATATTTTAATGTATATAAATCGGCTTCCCATAAACCGTCCCGATAACACGGCTTCAAGTCAAGTATTGACCATTTGGTCCTTTTATGTATATAACTTAGGATCAGGAATGCGCATGTGCCCGTTTATATACATGTTATATTCTCCGTCTAATTCCCCCTTATAAACCCCATGTTTTTCTGTTAAATCTAAGTGACTGTGCATGAAATGTTGTGCACTAATCACAGAATTACCGTGGAACAGCTTCCGTAAAACTATGAAAAATAACTGTGATCCGGAACATGTCTAGTCGATACTATAATCAAGGTTTTAAATGTCGGATGTCGGGTTCATGTCGGATGGCTGAAATCCATGTCGGATAGCGGAAATCAGGGATATATCGGGGGACATTGACTAAATATCGGATTGCCATATCGGGTAATGCGCATATGTATAATATCATGTCTTAAATGTAATCTAAGCATTCATAAATTCAATATAAGCATACTTTATAAATTCTATATACTAAACATATAAAAAAGTAAATAATATATGGATTTAGGTTCATAAATTCTTTCTATCGGGCTCATAAGAAACCCTTAAACATGAGAACGGGTCAAACGAGTTTGAGTATTTATCACTAAACCTAAACCCGATAACAAAAAACAGATCTTAAAAAAATACCATATCGGTCGATTTTTTAAAGCTAAAAAATAGATCGATATGCCTGATATGACCTTGATATTTCCGATTTGACCCTGAAAACCGATATACGAGTTGAAAACGTCCATGTCGTGTCGGTCAAGCCCTCAAACCGATATGTCGGCCGACATGTCGGACATGTCGGGCGACATTTAAAACCTTGACTATAATAGTAATAATCAGGAAAAAAAATCTCATATCGGGACATTGATATCGAGGGTATAACCATGCTTTGAAAGCACGCTTATAAATCATAATTTTTACGGAAGTCGTTTTCATGCGCAATCTCTCATATTGGATAATAACTAGGTGATCAAACAATAATTTTTCCATAAAGTCATGCATGTCAAACACAGTAAGCTAATCATGCTATTTCAAGGGATCTCTCCAAAAATACAGTACTCAATCTTGATTTTAATAATCAAAATATAAGGGGTGTAAAATATCATATGAAGGAATAAAAGAGGAGTTAATGAGAGATTAGAATGCTATCATTAATAAATTAGATTATTTGACTATTGTTACAATTTGTACATGCTTATTTTCAGTATCCTAGCAACAATAACTATAAAATATTTCTTTTAAGGCATTAAATCATATTATCTGTAAATATGTGCATCGGCCCGAAGCCCACAAAAACTCAGGCCCAACCACTTTCTTTTAATAAGATACAACTCTAGTATAAATTATTAATGCCCAAAACAATAAAAAATTTCTTTTGAAGGTTACGGGATTTGAACTAGGAACTTAAGGGTTATCATTTTTGGCATCTGACCACTAGACCGATTTTTTTTTTGCTTTTATGACATGAGTAATGTAGAAAATGTATAAATTTGTGTTCAGATAATTGTGTAAATCTTAAAAGTACAAATATATCTACTAAACCTTCATATTTGTTTTCAGAAAAATTGAAATTCACTTGATTTGAACTCCGAACCTAGCTGTTATCATCTAAGGCATAACACGACCTAATTAACGTGTTGTACGAAAATGAGGGAATAAGAAAACCTACATATCAGCAAATTTTACTAACAAAGATAATTTTCCTTCTCACTAATCCTACTGTCCACATACTAAACAAAACTATTTTCACCCATATAAAAAAATAAAAATTTATAAAGAACGCTTATATGAGAAAATCCAAATAAAATAACAATAATGATAATAATTGAGAAAATGATACTTGCATAATAAGAATGAGCAAGATAAAATATGCTTGCCTATTTGCCGAGCTAAGTCTCTCAATCCCAATACCCAGCAAAAATCCCTACTCTTCCTCCTCTGTTCGTTTTTCCCCCGTGAGGCAAAAAGAGGGTTATAAAGTCAAGCAGGTTGATTAGGTGGAGTTAGAGACAATCAGAGGGGTTAGGTAGAGGTTTAGGCAAACATGTAATTCATGAAACAAAAATGAGGTAACCTTGTTAGGGGGTTGGCAATTTATTCTAAAAGTGAGGCTTGAGATCTAAGAGATTGGTAAAAGAAACATCATGACCCCATGTTGGAAAAAATGCATAAGTCTAAACTTCTTTGTTTAGTTAGATTACATACGTACACAATAAAAAAAAGTCATAAAGCAAGCCATAAAGCTAGCATACAGCCATAAAGATAGTTTGAATCTGTGGCCAACGTGTTCCTCTTAGTTTGAATAGGTCAAAATCACAACCACATGGACTTTTGAGGGTGTCTCCCATAAAACCCCTAAACTTTATTTATCTCATAATATCACCTAAACTTTTTGGGTTTCTCTCAAAAATTAAAATTTCAGGTATTTACTTTGAGCCACATGTAAGGTTAGTGGGTATTACATCTCACCCACCTAAAAAAAAATTTCGTCCTCAAAATTAAATCTAAAAATACAAGGAGCTAGATGTTACCAGAATAAAGAGATGTGAATAACGCTGACAAATATCGTCCTCTCATTCCCATGTTACCTCGCCAGGTCCATGGTGTGCACATGATACCAATACTAGATGGATAGTTCTATTCTTAAGAAATTTCTCCTGTCTATCTAGAATCTTTATTAGTCGCTTCTCATAAGATAGGTTTGT